ATTTATACAATTATTTACAACGATATTCATCAAATTTAAAAATGAAAGATGATAAAATATCTTTTGAACAATGGATGAATATCATATGCAATGCTCTTGTTGTACTCATACAAAATAATTTGCATCATTTCAATACAAATTTTGAACAGAAGAAAATCTTATTTACGTATGATATCCATGATGCACATCTTGTCAAATCATTCTATGATTTAAATCCAATAGAAGAACAGGTGAATATATTATTTAGCCTAACTTTCTCTTATTCTTCTTCTCATAGGTTTATTCTGCTCAACAAATTTGGCGATCAAAATTACGAGCATGTGAGAAGGTTATTAGTCAACAAAAGAAATGTTGATCAAGGAGTAATCAAGTTATGGTTAAAGGAATAATTCCAGGTAATCATTCAATAACAAATATGAAACAAAATGAATTTGACATTGATGGTAATGATCAAAAGAATCAATTATCATCTATGAAATGCTTTTCTCCTTCAATGCGTGCAATTATCCAAGCTCGTCTCGATAATATCGAACAACGTGCTCAACAAATTATAAAATTTATTCATGCTTCGTCTGAAGAATAACGATCTATTCCTTTCTTATAGATCTTACTGACTCTAGCATTCTCGATCGTTCATTTTAAGCAATATTGTAGAATGTAGTTCTATTGTAACACTTCATTCATTTCTTTTTTTGTGTCATGTTTCATAGTTTGTTTTTCGAATAGTAAACAAATTTATCTTCTGATGTTTTGCTTTTCTTTTTTCTTCTAGATCTCACTTTCAGAATTCTATCTTTGTTTTGTTGTCTCCCATTCAATTTCAAATGGCAATGACAACATCAAATCTCAATTCTACTAAAACTATTACCCGTTGTAGTACAGTTTCTGACGCAAAAGTAAGACAGAAGAATAACAAAGATCTTTCTATTCTATGAACAATGATTTTCTTCTTAGATAGTCAATGAACAAGTCCTATCACAAGAGCTTGGCCAATTTTCACCTTTTAAAATCAATTCAACAAAAAAACAAATAACAAGATTTCCTATAGAAATCATTCCTTCGAAAACAATTGGTAGTGGATGGCAATCTATACCCGTCTATCTTTGTTCAAAAAATCCATCTTTTGAAAAGAAACTTGGAACCG